GGATGATTGCAGAGTGCTCATTATTAATGCAAATGAGATAAGGTTAGTTCCTAATGCCAAGGAAGTCATGAAATGGTCTCAGTGGGGCGGGAAGGTGAGGCTTGTAAGCTCTGTGCTCTGGCGTGTTTCTCTGGGTCATGGGGCAAGGACTGCCTGTCATACTTCAGCTACTCCACTTTCATGAGTTGGTGTGGCGCTCTGTAGCGCATCTCTTATGTGTAAGTTTGTGTCTGCAGAAAAGCAGTAGAGAGCAGTTTTCTTCTATGGTGATTTCTGTGGCAGAAAGTAACCCGAGACTGTTTTTTCAGAGCTTGGACTTTGTTCTGAAAATGGGACTATGAAATGCTTCAGCAGTGAAAAACTTGTATCTCAGGACAGGAGCTTGGACGAGTGTGTACCTATATACACACTGGTAGCTTGTATGGGGAAATACTTAAGATGGTTTTGCTGATATAAAAAGCTTAATAAAACTGACCTAAAAGCACTTACTGGTTTTACATGAGTGTAAATAAGTGGAAACACCCCAGATAAAACTACAGTCTTTCTACACCACTAGGGAAGAAACCAAAGCAGTCCTTCTACTCTTAACTTTCATTTCCTCGTTTGACTCAGTTGGGTCTACTGTACAGGCATCTGTTCATACAGGTATGTTGATGTAGGGGTGTGATCCTGTGTTGACTGTGAAATTCTTGGTGTGGTTATAGTTAAACAAGTGAAACAGCTTTTTTTTATACTGCAAACTACATTGGTCAGAGGGCCTGGAGTAAACTGTTATGGCAAAGGAGAAGTTTTGGCATTAAAGTTGTCCCTATCTGGGGTATATTACAACTGTTTTAATTGACTAGCTCTAAAAGGAAGCCAGCATCAAACATTAAGTGAAACTGCTTTTAATAATGAAACAATAGGACTAAGTTTGCCTTTTGTGGAAGAATTGTTTTCACCAATAAGTGTTTTGTTTGGGTGTTTTTTATGAGTAAATTAGAAGTACCTGCATAGCTTACTGTATCTCCTTTAGTATCCCAGAAAATCCATAGATTTAAAATTGCTATTAGCTGTAGTGCTGTAATAATAGTGAACTGATCAACACCTGGAATGAGCAGTGTTGTATGTAACTGAATGGTGTTTAGGTGAAGCAATGAGATGACAGAATGAGAAATGTGGTTAAAACTGGTGTTTTGACAGGGGCATAGCTGTAAAGGATGAGGTTAGAGGCTGTGGCCATAGCAGTGAAATTCTCTGTCAAACAGGTATGGTGAAGCAGGAATTTAACCGAGCATGATACCACTGGGTTTTGTTTGGGGTTCAGAAAAGTTTAATGGACTTAATTCTGTGTATAGCATTTCAGTACTTGATTTTACGGTGCAATCACTGAAGTACAAGTGCATCTTTTAAGCTACTTATGTACTTTTATGCTATCACTATTTTAATGAAGATTCTCCCCTCGGCTTACTATTCTAATACCTCTATAAATTGTGAGATCCTACTCATTGCTAGGAGCTTTGGTAAGCCATGGCATCATTGAAATGGCCTTAAAGAAGACTTGTCATTACTTCTCTGTTTGTTAACCCATACTATAAAAACTTATTAATTAAACCAAGTATTTTGCCAATGCACAAGTTCAGTCTTGCCAGTTTTAAATTTGACCTCAGCAAAATCTTAGTTTAGGCACATTGTATGCAAATTTCACCACATTTCTAGATAAGTTCAGTTATGCTTCACTTAAAATCAAATAGCTGAGCTTTAAACTAAGCAGAGCTTGTATTAACTTCTGTTAATAACAATAATTTATAATTTTTAAATGACTTGCATTACTCAAAATGTTCACTTGCGCTGCTAGTCCAAAACAGACATTTATGATTTTCAGTGAGTATTGAAACTTAACAACCAGTATGTTTTGAAGTAGTTATGGAGGTGAATATAAGATTTCTTTAGATTCCTAGCCAGCTATTAAGAGGAGTGAAGTATTTTTTTTTGTTGGAAATGAGATTTATTTGAATGCAACAATAATGACTTAAAATTCAGAAGCCTTTCTGAAGTGGTTGTGACATTGTGATTCTGAGTGTTAAAAAAACGCTCAGGCTTTTCCATCAAGAAATGAACTTGTGCAGTTTTCATAAATGTGCTTGAGTTTTAGGCATGAACTTCAAGATTATTTGTGAACTGAGAGAGAAAATTTCAGGGCAACTGTGAATGTGTCCAGAGTTTTGGGAGGATTGTATGATGATCAGCATTTCTGTGAAAATTTGAAATTCATCTTTTTGATGACAGTATGAATTTTTTTAATGGCATAAACTAATTTATCCTTTTACTCCTTCATGCTCAGTATCAACAGGACTAAGCTTAGTGATAATGTGCAACTTGGTCTGTAGTGTAAGCATTTCTTACACTGGAGAAAGAGCTTGTAGGAATGCTTATCAGACCAACTGAAATAGTTGGAAAAGTAGCAGTGCTTCTAGGGGCGTTCTTCATAGTTTGGATCAGCTTGGTTTTTAGTCAAATATGTGCTTGGAAATGGTTCATTGAGTTGGTTTGATGAGTTAATTCTGATGCGTAGGGGCTTTCACCTGTATAATTTCCAGGAGGGCTTTTGATGCATTTGATATATTTGAATGAAGCACAGTTATATTTTGGAATGTGTGTATGTAGGTCTATCAATGTTTGTATTTGTAGAGGTACTCGCAAGGTGTATGCTTGAAATGCAGAGTAGGCCTGCACTGTTCCTGCCCTGGCAGACCCTTGGTAGTGTGTAGAGCTGAGTTTGCTGTTCTGTAATCTGTGGTGCCTCTGTCACTTCCTTGCTCTTGAGTGCCTTCCAGAAAACTAACTGTGCAGCAACTTTGCTAGAAATTTGTGCTGACCTGAAACTCCTAATTTTGTAAATTGAAGCACATATTTTCAAGATGCGGTTTGCAGGGTTATTAGAATGAAATCAAGTATTTATCAGGATTAGTGTAAAGACCTTCTTCTGTAGGGCCAGCAGCGCTCTGGAAGTCTTTGGGATCTGTGTATAGACATGGAGGCAGTGACTCTGGTACGGTGACTGATGTACACTGGTGTAGGTGCAACTCACTGGAACAGCAGGCTCTGAAACTTGGGGCATTCTTCAGGATATGAGCACGGAACTGGTTGGGAAGAAAAGTCAAAAGCCATGGTTTCCCAGCACCCTGCTTCAGTGTAGGGATGACTCACAGATGTAAACAGTAGTCACAACTGATCAGCACTGTTCAGAACCATGTTTTCTCTTGCATGTGTTCTTATTCAGAAAGGAGCAAAGTGTCTTCAGATGGTATTCTGAGGTGGTGTAAGTGTGGACTCTGTTCTGTCTCCAGATCCTGTCCCATCAGTGCCCAAAATGCTGATTGTAATTGCCAGTCAGGACACTTGCACTGGAGACTTTAGAAAAGCTAAGGGAGCTTCTCATTTTGGGAAATACCAAACCTGGTTTTACAGAATGAATCAAAGTAAATGGATAAGCACAATGCACACATGAGTAATGCATGGTGGGACTGAACTGCAGCCCTTGCTGTCTGTCACCTTTGGCATTCTTGTTGATACGTTAATTCTTCTGTGATGCACTGCTTACTCTTTTGATTGTTCTCCCTGCAACTAGGATCTTGTTTTTGCTGATTTTGTGTATAATTCCTCTATAGATACCAAAAGGAAAGAGAATATACAGGAGCCTGTCATTTATTTGTTTCATGTTGTGGATGCTATTGGCAAAGTAACAAGATGCATGGGCAGTACCATTCGGGAGTCTTGGCAAATACTATGATGGTCAATTGCATGTAAAACTTCTGAGAGTACTTCTTAAGAAACCTTGCACTTGACTGAATTGCACAAAGCAAATACTGTGTTCACTTAAGCCTCATGTTAATATTCCTTATCCACAGGGGAGATATTAGGTACTAATGTGTCTACACTGATTTGCATCCTGCATTTTTTTTAAGTGCCTTGTCAACTTTTTTCTGTAGTGGTTCATTCTTTAGTTATCCTTTTCTCTTAGCCTTTTTGACCAGTAAAATTTGGTAGTTCACTGACACCTTCTGTGGTTTTTCTCCAAGTCATTGCTGGAGAGAACATTGCTATGCCATTCAATGAAAACAGAATTTATGTTAAAGGAGTAGAAAGGCAAATAATTGAAGTTTGTCACTTTGGCTGGTACTCTATACTCTGCAATAGATGGAGAGCATAGATCCAACTACACTGTTGGTGTAACCACAAGGATGACATTCACAGAAGAAATGGAAGTGATACCAAGATCTTTAAAATGGAGTAAAACTGTGCAAATATGTTCTTTTGATTCTGCTAGATTAACAGAATTAGCAATTAAGGAAACTTAACAGACTTATAACTTTTTCTCAGACTTTTTTACTTTGTAAGAGTTTGCACAGTGTCAGTGAGCGAATTGGTAGTGTTTGATGAAGTAGATATTCTCACAAAAGGAGTTGGAAGGAAAATAACATATGGAATAATAAATTACAGGTTAGTAATATACACTTATGGAAGTGTGCGCCTCAGTGCTTGGAAATGTTTTCTGCTTTTGGTATGAAGCCTGAAGCATGGTAATTATCCTGAAAGTATAAGGACATGTATATTTAACATTTTATCTCCCTTGGTTAATGCTGTTTTTTTAGGAAGCCTCACAAGTGTAAAACTAAGTTGCAGCTTAATTAAAGTCATTAAGTAATATTTGCTGTACTGAATCTTGGTTTTGTAAGGACCCACATTAAAAAAAAGCTTCATAGGAATTCTGCATATGCAGACTAACAAAATGTAGGAAAGTAAGTAAGTCAGTGTAGATCTGGTATGTGTAAAAGAAAGGAAGAGAATATTTTGGCTCTTACATAGGTTACCCATACTCTTGACAAGCCACTGAAAAATACATATATTCTTACATCCAGAAAAACATCTAAATTAATGTATTAGCTCTTTTGGATTAAAAAGGATTATTTACCTGAATGTTGCAATTAAAACTGACTTAATGTGCCTTCTTCTTGTAGGTGGTTTTGCTTTTGTCTATGAAGCTCAAGATCTTGGAAGTGGTAAAGACTATGCTTTAAAGGTAAAATGAATTTACTTGACAGGTTTACAAGGCCTCTTGTTCTGCTTGATGCTTTAGCATGACAGTTAATCCTTGGTGCATGCCACTGAACAAGTAATTTGAAAAAACGCAGTGTGGTAAAGTGGCGCTTGTAGTACACTGCACCGGTAACTAGAATGGTCATTCCTATAAGGACCCTGCCAAAGATGGGAGTCGGTCTCTTAGGTACTACTGCTGTTTATCTTCATTTAGTCTAGAAATTCATGACCCTGCCGCAAGCATTTTTTTTTTATGCGTAAAAAGCAGCTTTCTTGGTTACCTGAAATGGGGTATGGGAATGTTTTCACTCCTCAGAAGCGGATTTGGCCTACTGTTTAGCCTACCTTTGTACTTCCAGAGTAAAGTTCATCAATGTTAAAAGTAATGCTCAACGCTTTGACTCATTAATCAGACATTTAGCCTGGCACTTTTCAGAGACACTCCTCTGGATTCTTGTTTTCTGAAGGCTTATAATAATCATGTAACAACTGAAAAACTGAAGTATTACGGAAAGGGCAACAAAGTGAAATCACTTATTTTGTTGTATTTTGCTTAAAAAAATCATATCACTTGTGTTCACCACAAAATGGTCTTTTTGGAGTAGGGATATTCTGTGGCTGTATCCGTATGAAGACATCTGTCTTGGAGATAAAGTGAAAAGGGTAGTAGTATGAGAGGTAGAGAGGCAAGATGGCATCAGACCGTGAATAATTACTTGATCTGTTGTTTTGCTTTTTGTATGATATCCTGCAGTGACAAAACATGTGACCAAACCCATATGGTATGTGTGTTCAAAATGTCATCTAGAAGCAGCCCTGCTTAAAAATAATGGATAAAAGGTAGACCACTACTGTACTTCCTTTGCTTTGTAAAACTAGTGCTTTTATAGCAAACGCTCAAGTTGATCCTAGTCAAATGTTGACTCCAAATCCAATACTAGAAATAGTAATGCTCGATTTTGCTGTTGATTACTCAGATAACATTGAAAATGTTGGGCTATGTAACTTGGAGAAGTTTTGGTGGTGTGAGTTGAAGGTTGTTCTGTAAGATTGAAGGGCAAAGATGAATCTTTCCTTGTCAATGCACGATGCTGTAAGCCAGGAGACTTTAACATTTCATACAACAGAAAACTGTCAGAGCAGTTGCTTTATGAGTGTCAAAGGTTATAACTGCTCAGTTATCACTAAACTTGAACAGTATAAGTAGATGGAAAACTGGGTGTTAAATTTATGGCAGTATGTCCAAATGTACAGGAAGCCTACTTCGTTTACCGCCCTATCACAGTTCTTTAGGTTTTTGACTGTAGCTTATCCTTTGTTTTCTGGGAAAAAAACAACTGTGCACTGTTTTTCTGTCAGTTTTAATAACTGTATCTTCTCAATTATTCTGTTTCCTGATAGCGATTGTTGTCTAATGAAGAAGAAAAGAACAAAGCCATCATTCAGGAAGTGTGTTTTATGGTATCCTTTTCTGGAACATTTTAGTATTTTGATTGACTTACATTAAATGTTTCTGAGAAACAGAACTACTCTACAGATCCAGTTCTTTCTGTGCTGTACACTGCTTAAGAGAACTGACCTTTTGAGGAAGGTCTGAGTTCCAGGTTTGTCATTAATGTGGCATCAAGATAAAGCAAGTTCAGCTCTTAAAAAATTTGCAGCACTGTATGTAAATAAATCTTGTAGCTGGTGTAAACTTGTCATGTACTTCATCTAGCAAGAAGTGAAATTTTTATTAGGGCTCTCTTGCAGTCCTGTGACTGTGGTCAAGAGACCTTTTGACTGTTCAGATGATACTTAGATCTTGAGTAGACTTCCCTCACATTCAGTGGATTTATTGCCTTTTTAACTGCTCAAAACTTTGCTTTTACTCTCAGTGTTTCTTTATTTCTGTCTTAGATGTGTCTGGCTTCAAAAAGTATTACTGAATATTAAGGAAGGAATTCCAGTAGAGTACATACTCAGAGACAAGAATCAGATGATTCTCAGTGTTGGTGCTGTCTTCTTTGTCTCTAATGATTATAGGTGGTAGGGTAAATGTAATCTCAAGTGTTTTCAATATTTGCTCCACGGTGTCTGCTCAAAGACCCTCAGTTTGTATGGTGAGTCAGTGAGTATGCTGTTGTTTTGTTTACCACTCTTGAGTATTTAGCATCATTTTGAGTTACCAGGCAAACCCACAGATCTTTATTTAAGCTACTGAAATATTTGTTTTTATGATTAGTGAATTGTTTGGCAAAATTTTACACTAACCACAGTTCACTACAAGTACAGTTGCAAAGAATGGACTAGCATAGCCCTATTTTTAGCTACTCTGACTACATCTTGCCAGGAGTAAAGAACCGAATGTTCTTTACTGAACTGAACTTGGATGTTTTTTCACAGCTCAGACTGATTAAAGCTTATGGACAACATGAGTGAGGGTTAACTGTTGCTGACTTTCTAGGCTATAACTGTGAAATGAAATTAATTCCTGCAGGTATGAGTAAAAGATTGCGAAGAGGTACGTAAGATATAAAAATAGTACTTTAGATTCATTCTAATTTAGTGGATCAAACTTGCCCTTTTTTAATAGCTTTGTTGCACTTAAAGCGTCCTTGCTTTTTTTCTTTTCAGACTTGGTGAATGCACCTTGTAAACAGTGGGTCTTACAGGCATGATTCTCTCTCTATATATATATGACCAAGGTCATGAACATCAGGGACAACGCAAACAGGCATAATGCAATTTAATTTCGAATGGCAGAAGTTGAGATCACTTACATTTTACTTCTTTTTATGTAGTTAAAAAATATCTTGAATTTTTGAACTGGAAGTGAACCGTGACAAAGGTTTTAGTATGAAGAATTATTACTGATGATGGGAGGATATGTTGCTTGGTCTTTTAGAGCTTTTTTGTTTTGAACTTTAGTTTAATTACTTAAAATTAAAACATTACATACTTAATACTTGCTCTGGGAAGGGAGGTGTTGATACAATTGCTCTTTCCTGATCAGCTAGCTAGAGAAGCAGCTGATAATTAAAAGGTCTCTCTGTACTTGTGCTGATGCCTTGCAGTTATCGTCAAAAGCCAAAAAGAAGAAATTAGGCCTGTTACGAAGTCCAGTTTCCTCAGACCTGTAATAACAGGGATTTTTTAAAATTACATTACATTTAGTGGCTTTTCTTGAAGTCTGGTTTTTTTTTTCAGCTGAAGCATGGATTTCCCTGTTCTGCTTAGTATTTTATATGCAGCTGTAATGCTTTCTGTGGTTTTAAGCATACATTTCAAATGAGATCTCTGTGAACTGCTGTATACAATAGTATCAATAAACCTGGCAGTCATCTTCCTTGAATGTGTTATCTCCAGAAAAAACTTTCAGGTCATCCCAACATTGTCCAGTTCTGCTCTGCAGCATCTATAGGAAAAGAAGAATCAGATACAGGACAGGGAGAGTTTCTTCTGCTTACAGAGCTGTGTAAAGGTAAGCTTCATTTCTTTTCCCAGCAGTGCATGTTGCTTCTGACAGCTGTCTTGCAGAGGATGCTTCACAGCTTAGAAGCTTTGAAAGCCTCTTAAAGATAGCATAATTCAGTGGAACTAGAGTTCAGATTATTCTTTCATAGGGTAAGAATCATGTTCTTTAAAACTACAGTTCAATGTCATGTTAAATATGGGGTAGTCATTAAGTTCTTTGTGTTTGACACTAGGCAGAGGATGGAAGAGGAGGAATAGTTCCTTAGACCATTGGCACTGCAATCAGTGTGGCTTTGCCATTTTCAGAATATCCATCTAACATTATAGCTCAAGGCTGTAAATCGTGCTTGATGAGAAGAACATTTGTCTGTTCATGTCAGGCTTTCAGAATGTGTGGTGTTCTGTGTGTGCTTATGTGAATTTCCCTGATTTCCTGCAGGACAGCTGGTGGAATTCTTAAAGAAAGCAGAATCCAGAGGACCTATCTCTTGTGACACAGTTTTGAAGATCTTTTATCAGACCTGCAGAGCAGTACAGCATATGCATAAACAGAAGCCTCCTATTATCCATAGAGATTTAAAGGTTAGTTAAAATGTTTAAATAAGACTGAATTCTTAAAAAGCAAAGGAGCCTGTTGGGCTGAATCAGTGTCAAGGCTGATCAAATAGTGGACATGCTTGAGCACAGTACTTGCATGTACAGCCTTGCCAAGGCTGCTGAATGTTAGTGAAGGTTGTCACCAAAATACTTGCATCTCTTCAAAGAACATCTTTTTTCTTGTGCTTGTGATGTCAGTAGTACTCTATCTGAACAAGCTGACAGCAGAGTAGTATATCATGGTTTGCTGATTAAGTTAGTCTCTAAGTGCTTTTGATAAAATAACTACTTATGACTTGTGAGTTGTGGTTTTGGGGTGAGCAGATCTTCTGAATAGAAGAGGTAGAGCATTGAAGGAGAAGAGAAAGTACTGTTGGATTCTCTGTGAAAGATTACACAGCCTCTGAGAGTGTGTAGTAAGCTGTTTGTTTTAGAACTAACAACTTGCATGGCATTTTAGGGTTTGTTTTTAACTTGAATTTTAAAATTTGGTAGGCATAATCAGTGACAGATTTTGTTTCTTAATTTTTCATTCTGCTAGCCTTTACCAAGATGCTGTAGAAAGTGTTGTCCCCTTAAACTTTGGAGATTTGAGAAGACTTCATCTGTATTTGAATTTTGTATGTTGAAGGCAGGCATTCACCTTTACATATATGCTTAACTTATGGAGCCCTAATAATCAGTGAGATTCTGCTGTACTACGAACACATTTGAACCTAATGGAAGGAGGTGGTCTTAATAAACAAACAAAATGAGAGAGAAGATTCTGATTCCTGAAACAGCATCTGAATTTCACACGTCTGTTTCCTTCTTGATGTGATATCAGCTGAATGTAGAAATGTAGAAAAAAATTGTTACTCCCTAAGTAAGCTCATACTCGATTACTTGCTTTTAAAAAGTAAATGTGTGCCAAGTGTCTTGTTGAAAGCTTTGACGTTAGGTACTACTGTAGTCCCTAAATATAAAAATAGTTGAGATGATGGAGCACTCTTTTTTTTTTTCACTTCAGTGCTGTTGAGCAGGCCTCTGCATCATGTCAAAGAACTTTCAAACAACCTGGGATGGAACTTTATTGGTGCTGCTTTCTAGGATAAAATCTTTTATTCTTCACTGAAATTTCTGTACACCAACCCCCAGAAAAAGCTTGTAGATAAGGTGTATCTCTTCTCTGAAAAAGGGGTAAAAAACTATTTACATTATTTGTACATAATTTCTTACATAGCCCGCTCCATAGACCTTGAGCTAATGCTGCAATTCAAGATCTGTTTTATCCTTTCAAGTTCCTGGTAGAGATAAAATATGGAAGAAGGCAGGAATTTGGTTTCATGTTGGTTTCATGTTACGGGGCTACAAAGCAAGATTAAATGATGGTTGTGCTGTGATAGGCAGAGACCTTGCTACAATTAGGAGCCAAATAGGGATCATTTAACTGTGTTGCCCTTTCCAGAAGGCTGAACTTAGGTCAGCAGCATAAAAAACTGTAGGTCTCAAAGTTCTGAGCCAACTTCAAATGAGACCTGAGTTACAAGTGTAGCTTTTGGGGAAGGTGTAGTAGGGTGGAATCCTAATAGGTTTTTCTGTTATTTTGACTGAAAGTACAAGGATTTGTGAGTTTATATAGTGCAGCTTTGTCACATTAAGAGTATGAGTCTGATAAGTGGCTGGGAGGTTGTGGGGGAAGCCCTCAGGTTGAGTCACAGGGTTCAGGACTAAACTGAAGCTTGTTTTCCAAAATCCTTCTCAGAGAGGAGCCTAGGTGTGACTGGATCCAGTGTTAGTGCCAGACTTGGTCAGCTGTTTATATCCAATAGGGATTATGTGAGTAGCCACTTAGCAGTCAATGTTTGCCTGTCAGAACCCTCACAGGGACTTTTACTGAAACAGTCTCGCAAAGTTGCAAAAGTTAGATGATTTATTAAGGTGACAGCTGTAATAAATTCAGAATTCCCAGTGATAAGTGCAGTGTCTTACACAAACGTAAACGTCATCCCAAAATTTAAGTGTGTATTGCTATAACAATAACTATCATTAATCATGCAAGCACTACAGTAAGAAAGCGCAGATTGATACTTAGCGCTATAATTAGTTATTGCAGTTCTCACCAAGAAGGCCTCCCTGCTTAGGGAGGAGAGAGGTCCAGGCCTGTTGACCCATCTGACAGCTGGAGTTCTTGCCCTCCTCTGCAGTACAGGATTCTAAATGTCAGATTTATACTTTTGGTGAGATGGGGCTTAAGTCAGTTGTTGAGTCCTGGTTGACCCTTAACAAGGTTCATTATGTGTTTGATCGAGGGGTGTGTGCTTAGCTTCAGCAATGTAGCATCAATCTGTGAGGCCTCCCCCTCACCTCAGGTGTCACTCAGTTGACTCACTGCTAGGACCACTAGGCACCACAATGAGCAAGTCACTCAGCTCTTGCCCTTGATCAGGTCTGGTGCTTATTGGCACAAGACAAACAGCCTTTGCTCTTGTTATTCTGTATCCAGCACCCACAAGCCTTGTCCTTCACATTGCACAAGCTTAAAAACAGTTTCACCTTTGTAGTGGTGGCTGTTTCTGTCCTCCTCTGGTTTCCTTTTATTGCTTGGCAGTGTAGTGCATTCTTTGTTCTTGAACCCCTTTGGATGAGGTTCACGCTTGTGTGTGTGCAGCACTGTAAGAACCCAGCTAGTTACCAAACTGTAAACATTCTAAGCTTGTTAGAAGGCAATCTGTAAAATATCAGTGTTTCTCTGATATTTTAACTGCCTGAAATTGATCTTTTCAGGATTTGCCATGCAGTGCAGAGCTAGTCTGCGTAACACAGGTCACAGAGCCTGTTAAAATCTGAATAATCGGCTGGAATGTTTTACATTATTAGCAGCCTCTACTAAAGCATAAAACCCAGAACATACATGCCCTGAAGCTCAATCTCTGGTCTTACTGTGACCATTTTTATAATGTATAATTGTATAAATTAAGTTAGATGTTGAATACCCACCTTTCTTACTGTACATGGAGATAAGCAAATGTTATCCAACAGAGAAGAGAATTCAGATTGCTTACTGAGAGCAATACTTTAACCGCATCATTAATAGAGCTCATGTCTTCCTACAGGGTAGTCAAAATTAATTTTATGGTGGGAGAAGTTGGAAGGGGCATCTGTGAGGAAGCCTAGTAGGATATTCTGAAAACTGAGTCTTTACAGAAGGAAGTCCAGAGATGTTATGCTTCAAAAGGAAAGGAAAGACAAACCTACTTATCTGAAGTGTGATGTTGTAATGTTACTAATATGCCTTTTAACTTTTATACCTTCTCCTGACTTCATATGGGGATGCAAATTTTCTTTTTCAGCCTTTTTGTGGTTATGACCTCAAGATACTTCTACCCGGTACCCTCTTTTCCCCTCTTAAGTTACTTCCCCATTTCAGTTAGCAATGCAGGAGGGTTGGATTTTATCAAGTAGGAAAAGGGAAGGATGATGACAAACTACTCAGGCAGCACATGGTCCTCAAACAGCTGGTTTCTGTCTCTGCACAGGGTCATGACTGCCTCTGGATGTCCCCCAGCAGCCAGCTTTTCTACTAGCACCTTCCTGTTTTATCTGCAGGAGTCCTAACCTCTGCTCCACTGCAATTAAGCTAACAGTGTTCAGTTTTATGCATGAAGACACTTGGATTCTGATATACTGCTGCTGCAACTGGTCCTCTCAAAAACTAGCCTCTTATTAGGCACTAATTGAATGACTTTTTTTTCCTGAGGTTTATGTCCTGCTCTCTTGAATGTTTCCTGCTCATAGTGGTTTTGGTACTTCCTTTTAAAAATTGATTGTATTGCTACTATATACATTTAAAGTACTGTCAGATCTTTGTGCTCCGGTAAACAACATTCTGGGCTCAAGGGAGTGTTTATACATGTGCGTGTGCGCGTGTGTGTGTATATATATATGCACAAGTGAGTTGATGTTTAAAAGTGTGTGTTAGTGTGCAGAAAAATGGTCTTTAATTTATTATTCTACCTCTTTTTGAAGGTGGAAAACTTGCTTATTAGTAACCAAGGGACAATTAAACTTTGTGACTTCGGCAGTGCTACAACTATAGCTTACTATCCTGACTACAACTGGTCTGCACAGAAGAGAGCACTGGTTGAAGAAGAGGTGAGACTATTTTAATGTGATTCATCTTAATATCAGCAGTGGATTCATTTTACTGTTACTGTTAATCTGATGGTGATTTGTGGGACTTCTAAGACTGCTGTTGCAGTTTTAGTGTTGTCTGTAAAGCTTTAGTTTTGTATTTGTGTTGCCAGAGTTTAAATACTGTCTGCAGTTATAATCATGGCTTGTTCATTCCTGCATATACAAACACCACTTCAGTGTCAGCATTGTCCATTCTGCAATCTGACGTGAAAATAGAAGTGGCTACTAGTGCTTCTTCTAATTGCATTTTTAACAGGAAGTAAAAAATTGGTTATGCCAAAGCGATTCCCACCTTCTCATCTTTTTTCCCCTCAGTTGAGTAATATATAAAAAAGTAGCAAGTCTGCTCTGCAGAATTTGGATAGTCAGTATTGCAGTACCTCTAGGTCTACAGTGACAGTGTTAAGCACACAGTGATTTTTTTTTTTTTGCAGAGTGCATTTGTTCTTCAAATTGAGAGTATTCTAGTAAATCCAAACTAAACTCAGACTTTTCAGTACGGAGAAATACAGTGACACTTAAAATTCATGTGTGCAACTTCTGATATCATGAGTCTCTGTAAACTTCCCCTGTTCTGGAATCCAGCATCCTTGAAGAGCAATCCATTGGTTTTTGGAGAAGAATAGATGATGTACCACTGTCTTGTGTAGTGTATGCAAAAAGATAAAAGATCTCTTCAAGGATCCTCGTGAACATAGCTTAACTCTTTGGATGTGTCTGCACTGTCATTAAGTATGATGAAGAAGTGAACAATACATGCTGAAGCATGAATTCACTTCCTGGTTTAGTGTTGATCTTCTGTATTTGTGTTCCTGTAGAACAGTGATTTTACTTTACATGTGTTTTAGTTTGGAAGGACTCTTGAATGTCACAATTCTACTTGAGTGTCTTTATCTGGCCTTATTTCAAAGCTCTTGTGACTATCAAAGGATTTAATTGATGTCTTCTTGACAAGTATTTCTGAAATTAATTTTCAAAGTGAGAATGCTGTCCCTTGTACATGAAAACCTGTTCCCTTGGTTGAATGCTGTTACAGCTTATTACTCAAGTTTCTGTTTCAAGAAATTCTATCTTCTGCAGATCACAAGGAATACAACACCAATGTACAGGACACCAGAAATGGTAGACTTGTATTCAAATTTTCCCATTGGTGAAAAACAGGACATTTGGGTAAGGAATTTTTCTCTTGCTTCATCATAGCTGCTTATGTCAGTGAAACTTGATTTTGCAGTCTTCATGTTATTTCGATGATTAAATAAATGAAAGCACCAAAATGAACATAGGGTAGATTGCCTTATTTCAAAATAAACTTAAATAACTATGTCTAAATACTGTATGAATGAGATGTAGTGTTGGAGGGTTTTCTTGCTGGACTTCCACTGTTAGAGGCAATGAGGAACTTCTGTGACATTCAGTAGAACTGTTGTGTAGTTGGAGCTTGCCACCATAGAGCTAGAATACTTACAGTTCTTAGATTCAAATTCTGAGCTTTCATGCTCTGCCATATACGTAATCCTGGGACAGCCTATTGCTGGTTTCAATATGGTTATGTCTAGATCAATATGGATCTAGATAAGATACTGAGAGATGGCAAGGATGAGAATTACGCAGAGATCATTCATGCTTTGTATAGAAAAGATGATAAACATTTAATGTTCACTAAAAAATTTGTAGGTGAGAATTAAAGCTAACTATTAAATGCTCAGTTGTACTTTTTTCAGTTGTGTAATACTGTAATAGTACAGATGTACTGCCCAGTGGATTTTTGCTTAAGGACTTAGTTTATGCAGGTGTGAGGCTGTTCAGCTGTTATCTGAATTGGCAGCATGTCAAAAGACAAATTGAGAAAATGTAATGCTGGTGTTTTAAAAGTTTTTATTTGGAATCCAGAACTTCATTTCTTAAATTAGTTGCATAATATTGCGGAAACTCTTATTCAGCTTCTACAGCTGTTGGTGATTTTCTTTTGGTATGTGAAGAAATACCAAGAATATTTGTTCACTTTACATGTGTTAAAGTCTGGCAGCTTGAGCCAGGATCACATACAGTTAAACACAGGGCTCAAAAGGGCAGTTGCTTTTTTTTTTTTGGTTTAGAATAACTCTCTATCCATTAGTATTAACATGGTGGTTGTCTCCTGCTATGTCTTTGGAAGATCTGTTCCAAACTGTCTCCATGTCCCAAGCATGTTCTCCATGCCTTTGTTGGAACATGTTGTTCTGTCTTTTTTCCTTTACAGTGTGGGCTCTATGAAAACATGCAAAATATTTGGCAATAGAATATGGTGCTGTCTCAGGAAGCATAACTGATACTGTAGTTTGTGTTAAAATTTTAAAATAAACACAATTGTTTTAAACAAAACAGTTTTCCCAAGAAAGTAGGCCACAGGAATAACACTCATGATTGCAGTCTTTATGCTTGTCACTGAGCTTAAAAGTATCAAGGAAATAGAAATGTCTTGCTTAGAACAGCAATATAGATGAAATATTAGTTATCAAACACAAACTCCATGATGGGAATGTGATTACATACTGATTGTAAGATCAGAGATTCTGAGGCTTGGTGAACTGCTTTCTGTACATTTGCTACCTAAGTCTAGAGATCTTCAGTAAACTTGTATACTTTAGTTCCATTTTTTTCCAAATTAATGTGATTTCCTGAACTGAAATTCAACTGAATTCCACTGAAATTACAGGCTTTACCTTGTTGTAAAGACTTTTTTCTTCATTTAAATTATCTTTTGGCTTGGAAAAGGCCCTTCATTTGCTCTGGCTTTTACGGATTTCTTAAAAAGCAAAAGAGTGGGCTTTAAATATGTTTAAGAAGCAGAATTTCTAAGTTGGGTTCTCCTTATCTAGATCTGGTAAGAAATTCTTCTAGTCAGTACAAGACATCTTGCAGGTCTTAATTCTGTGTGAGCTGAGTGATCTCTTTATATTTCATGCAGTTTAATTCTATTCAGAAAGTACTTTGCTGTAATACCTATGTGTCATCCTGTGGCTATATGGTAGAACTTCTCATCATTCTAAGTGCGCTGCTTATTGCCTGAAGCTGGTCAGTGGAAAAATAACAGTATTTTGATTTGTTTCAAACAGTCTGGCTGCATCCCCTCAAACACTGCCACAACATCCCAGAAACCCCCCTGTCCCCTTAAGGAAGGGTTAAATTAGTAGTTACTTTTGGTCACTTTGTCATACTGCTTTTTTACCTGCTGTCATGTGAGTGCTCAGCTTCTGTAGAGGGACTGTTGTGGTCTAAGCCCAGTGGGCACCTGAGTACCCTGAGGTCTGCTCATTCACTTCTTCTCTGGCTCTGTCCCCAGTGGGATGAGGAGAAGAAAAATATAACAAAGAGAGACATTCTGGGCTGAGACAAAGGGTAGGATGGGTTTACTCACCACTTAATCATAGGCAAAAAAAGACTCATCTTGGGGAGAAAATAAAACTGTTTTGTTACCAGTAGCATCAGAATAGAATAGTGAGAGGTACAATCACATCTTAGAGTCAACACATTCTTCCACTCCTCCCTTCTTCCCAAGCTCAGCTTTGTTTCTGGTCTCTTACCTTCTCCACCCCCAGCAGCACAGGGGGATGCGAATGGGGGTTGTGGTCTCTGCTGCTCCTTCTTCGGGGTAGGGAGGCCTCCTTGCACTGTGGGTCTGCCCATGGCTGCAGTTTTCCTCACAAACTGCTCTGGTGTGGGCTTCCCTTCCGCGTGATGTGGTCCTTCCCACAGACTGCTCCAGCACACACTGCCCATGGAGTCACGCACTCTTTGGGCACAGCCACCTTCTCATGTGGGTCTCTTCTCCACTGTTGAGTCTCATGGGCTGCAGGTGGGCCAACCTGCCCTCTCTACCATGGGTTGCAGTGGAACTTCTGCTCCAGCCACCTCCTCCCCCTCCTTTCTTCACCAGTCTTGGTGTCTGCACAGTTGTTCTCCTCACATTCCACTCTTCTCTGCTGCAGGTTTCTTCTGTTGCTTCTTGAGTTTCCAGCTCTCAGGCTGGAGCTGCAGCAGGGCTTGTCTTGTCCTAGGGCTGCACCACCTGTGCCAGGCCACACTGGTCAGGGCCAGGAGCAAGAGAGGGTGGCCATGTGCTGCATGGTTTCTTAAATACATAATTTGCAGAATCAGTGATTGGCATGGCCTTGGTCAAAGATGGGTCTGGAATTGGAGCCATGGGAGCTTCTAGCAGCTTCTTACAGGGCTATCTCAGTAGCCCCTCCCTTGCTACCAAAAGCCCTCACAGAAACCCAGTGACAGACTGGCTGCAGCTTTGGGCTAACATCTGGGCAAAATGGGCTTTTCTGCTACGTGTATCCATGCTGAGGCTACGTGGATAGTGTTGTCTTTGAGGAATTGCCTTTTAGCCAAATTAAATCTCTGTTTAAAATACTCAAAATATATCACTGTTACAAGTTAGATAAAACAGAAGGAATGAAAAACATTCCCTAGCAATTAAAGCAAAGATCAAATCTATGTGATCTCTTCACTTCCTTCATGTTCAGCTGATTGCCTTTGTGCTTTTCTCCCCCGTGTGGCTGTGGATGCTTTATTCTGATGTGCTTGGTGTCTCAGGCTGCACAGGGAGTAGTCTCATTCTTTCAACTAAATAATGATCTGCCTTACTACTTTGCAAACAGGCATTTCTGTGGGAGAATGGGTGGTATTTCCTATACTCCCTTGCTGAATTAATTAATGTGGACTCTTGAGGTTTCATTGTATGCATTACAGAGAGCTTTTTATCAACAAACTGGCAAAAAAATGTACTTGCTCTACAATAATACAGTATTAATATGCAGTTTACCTCTGGCCCTGGATTAAGAAACTTAGTAAGTGTTCTGAAGTAACTAAATCTCAAACCTTTGAGAGACTTTAATAACACTTAAATCTTTGAAACTGTTCTTGGGATTGTTTGACAATCAAGGACAGCCTGAGACGGTGTATGCAGAGGACTGGAGGCAGCGTGCAGATTTCTTAACTAACATCTTCACTGGCTTGTTTTATCTGTGCGGGCTTATAAAAGCCCATATGCTCAAGCAACTAAGCTGGAGTTCAAAAGAAGCTTTGAAGAAGAATTTTCCAGTCTGTTGTGCAAACATTTTCTTGGAGGTATTTAATGCTTTATTATCAAACTTTTATAGGCCAGGTGGAACATGATTCTGTTGTAATAGCATGACTCTCTCCAGTATATTTCATATGTTAACTTACATGAAAGTATCTATATCAACTTATATTTACTGAAGTAACAGTTATCCAAACTAATCCATAACACCAGGACTATTCAGAGATTAGAATTGAAAACTGACTTTTGGCTTTGGTGGTTTTTCTCTTAAGAGGTCACACAGGTCTCAAGTTTTGGCACACTAAGGAACTTAAAAGTTCCCAGGATGTGGCAGTCCTGCTTTTGTGATGTTTTGTCTTGAATTAACCTGTCTGAAAATTATCTTAAATTTTGTTGTAAGAACTGAATAGCCTTCTGATTGTAGGAAATAAAGGGACCATCATTTCAGGCTTACTTTCTTCAAATCTTTATAAAAACAAGTGTTTTAGAGATGATGTTGTATCCCCCTAGTGTCATTAAAACAAACTGATTAACACTTAAAGGCTTAACTAGCTGGTGCATTGCGTAACAGAATGTATCTGAGTTAGAAATACAAAGACAAAGTTAGAAATTCTGTTCCCATAAATAAATCTAGTCTCCTGGAAGCACAGGATGAAGATATGAAATAAAACTTCTTAGCCTTTTTGTAAGAAAAATCCTGTTCTTGAATCTAAGTGTTGCAAGATTACTTATTTTTGTATACTGTGAAATTCATAAAATGGATTTATTGTAATGACTTTTAAAAATACCAGAATAGGAGTATTCCTGATCTTGAAAACTTCCATGAAAGGGGGAAAAACCCCACAAACTTATTTAGTAGCGGTATTGCTGCTTGGAGTTCTCTAACTGACATGCCAAACAAATGAATGTTTCAGTAAGTGTTCTGTTCTCAGAGAAACATCAAGACATTTCTAAAGGAGTGTGAAGCTGATCCCTAAAACACTAGGAATATATAGAGAGAGTTGCATGAGTCAGCAGCTGATGATCAAAATGTGTGATTTGCAGGCATTATTAGGAAGCTTAATCAATTTCATATGCTAAAATTCTGCTTTAACTATCATTGCTTGAATTAGAGACAGCATAAACAAGAACCAGTCAATGCATTCATGAAACAATTTGTATTCATAAGCTTTTTTCATTCTGTGGTAAGTTGCACACAAAAATGGTGGGTGGTACAGAGCTCCTATTGCCCATGGACACCTTCCAGCTTCCTGTAGGACCACATGCTATCTATCATAGAATACAAGACAAGGTGTAGAGGTACAGGATAAGGTGTTTATCCTTGGGCCAGTATCCTTGTATAAAGTTACAACACTCCTTTGAGTGGCAGAGGTGGAAGAGGATAGAAGCGTGCTATGATCTGCTCATGTTCCTGCCCAGGACTGCTGCTGTCAGAGACCAGAGAAACACCAACTGAAGAAACAGCCCTCTGCCTCCCTGCCTGGGGTTCTCCCAGCCTCACACCAAGGTTGTTCATTTCATGCCTCCCTAATGGCCAGGAAGTACCCATCCTGGGCCAAAAATACTGACCACCACCAGTGCCCACTGACATGACCACTCCCTCAGTAGGGCTAGTGCCAGGAGCTTAGTCCCAGGGTACCCAGTGAAAAAGGGCACAGAGCTCCCTTTGCCCATGGCTTTGGGAAGCTTCTAGCTCCCTGTAAGAGCACCATGGGGTGGAGGTTGGTTTTATCTATCCTGTATACTGCTGGCCACTCTGCATTTTAGTGGCAGGGGAGGAGGAAGACAGGAGTGTGTTGTGGTCTGGTTGTTTCCCTGTCCAGATGTCCAGCTGTAGTACAGAGCAGCCACCCTCCATCGCCATGGGCAACCCCTGCCTCCACACCCTCCCCTCCGTGCGCTTGCTTATCTGCCAGCCTAGGTTAATGCAGCCCTTTTTATAGTCATCCTGGACTGGCAGTGTCATGACCTGCCACTGCCAATGTTGTCAGCTGTCATACCACCATGACACCTATGCACTGTTTGCTGGGTAAAAAACTAGCTGGATGGCTTGGCCCAGAGAGTGGTGGTGAATGAAGTTAGATCCAGTTGGAGACCTGTCACAAGTGCTGTTCCCTAGTGCTCAGTACTGGGGCCAGTTTGGTTTAATATCTTTATCAATGATCTGGACAAGGGGATTGAGTGCAACCTCAGTAAGTCTGTAGATGACAACAAGCTGGGCAGCAGTGTTGAATCTGCTTGATGGCAGAAAGGCTCTACAGAAAAATGTGGACAGAGTGGAGTAACCGGCTGAGGGCAATTGTATGAAGTTCAACAAGGCCAAGTGCTGGATCCTGGATTTAGGTCATAACAACTCCATGCAATGCTACAGGCTTGGGAAACTGTGGCTGGAGAGCTGCCCAGTGGAAAAGGATTTGGGGGGTATTGGTTCACAGGAGGCTGAACATGAGCCAGCAGTATGCCCAGGTGACCAAGAAAGACAACAGCATCCTGGCCTGCATCAGGAATAGTGTGGCCAGCAGGAGTAGGGAAGTGATTGTACGTGACACTGGTGAGGCTGCACCTCAAATACTGTGTTCCGTTTTGGGTCACTCACTACAAGAAAGATACTGAGGTCCTGGAGCCTGTCCAGAGAAGGACGAGGAAGGTGGTGAAGGGCCTGGAGCACAGGTCTTGTGAGGAACAGCTGAGGGAGCTGGGGTTATTTGATCTGGAGAAAAGGAGGCTGAGGAAAGGCTTTAGCACCCTCTACAACTACCTGAAAAGAGGTGATAGGATGAGAGAAAATGACCTCAAGTTGTGCCAGGGGAGGTTTAGATTGGGTGTTAGAAAAAATTTCTTCACTGCAAGGACTGTCAGGCACTGGAATGGGCTGCCCAGGGAAGTGATGGAGTCACGATCCTTAGAGGTCTGTGAAAGATACGTAGATGTGGCACTGGGAGACATAGTTTAGTGGTGGGCTTGGTAGTGTTAGGTTAATGTTTGGATTTGGTCTTAAGGGTCTTTTCTACCCCAGGTGATTCCATGATTCTATGAAATATTTTTGCCTTTATCTCTGTGTAGGCTCTGGGCTGTATCCTGTACTTGCTGTGCTTTAGGCAACATCCATTTGAAGATGGAGCTAAACTTCGCATAGTCAATGGGAAATATGTCATTCCACAAAATGACACCCGCTATTCTGTGTTCCATGATCTCATTCGTAAGTTTACAATGTTATTTATGTAACTTGATGTCTTTATGATTACATCTTATAATTGACAGTTTTGTATTACTGATAATTAAATTTTATTGATATGTGATGGTGAGAAAGGTTAACTGCAACAACTTCTTATTTTATTAAAAACTTTAATCCATTAACAAAAAACTTGAAAATTTTAGAGGAAACTTTTGAGGTTTTTAGTGCTGTTGTCTGTCTTGCTTAGGAACTGAATTAGTCTATAGGAACAACTAATGTTTGATTTGTGTTCTTTGAATGTGCTTTAGAAATTCTGTTTTCTCTAAGTTTCAAATAGATTACTGGCAACTTTAAATACAGATCCAGGAATATGTCTCCAACAGTGTTAGATGTGAAGTTGCTTCTGAGGTTATTCATTGACCGATCCCAAAGTATATTCTTTGAAATGTTTTTAACATTCTTAACCCTAAATGTTGTTTTTTCTTGGGTATCTGTTATGACAATATTTGGATATGGATTTAGCAGTTGCTCCACTCTCTTCATGTGTCTGATTGCTTATTGTACCGGAGTACAAAAGAAGTTGATTAATCTCTGCTGGGAGAAAAGGTCTGAAGGATTTCTACTACATTGTCTGAATCTCCTTTTTTAGGCTCCACTTTGAAGGTGAACCCGGAGGAGAGACTGACGATCACTGAGCTTGTGAATCAACTGCAGGAGATTGCAGCAGCTAGGAATGTGAATCCTAAATCCCCTATCACGGAGGTAAAGATATCTCGTAAAGAATACTGTTGATTCGGTCTCCTTTCTCTCTCTCCTCTCTGTTTAGTAACAGATGTCAGAGAAGGTGCCCTGTTCTTTAGTCCTTTGAGAGGTTCACAGTAACTTGTTTTGAAATTCAGTTGAATTGATCTATATTATTTGTAGGATCTTTTAAAAAGATCATTTACAAACACCTTTTAAAACACAGAGCTTGCATGATGTTAAAGGAAACTAGTTGTAGTTTTTACTGCTTGTTTAAAAACTTCTCATAATCTTGGGTCATTCTTTAGTACTTATGTGCTCTGTTTGACATGCTGCATTTAATCATAATTAACTTACACAGAAAAATCTAGTATATGAAGACTCTGCCTACACTAGCTTGAAACCCACTTTAGGTGTACAAATTAAGCACCGAACAAAAGACAATACTGCAAGTGAATCAATTAGTGTATCTTACCTTCCTGGCTTTCTTCTGAGGTTCAGTAACTGATAGCGTCCTTGTTCTCACCAAGTGAAAGTAATTTAAAAAGCATAATGAGTTGGCTAAATGGGTAGGAAAATTCTCATAGTGAGCATTAATCTCCTCAGCTCCTGGAACAGAATGGAGGTTATGGAAACAATGCTCAGCCTCGGACATCTATGACCTCTGTTTCGCAGAGCTCCAAGCCTGCAGGACAGCTGAACAATATGTACAATGCAGGTAAGTACAGAAAGAGACATCATCTTAGTGTAAAACCTGTTGTGTGTCTTCTATGTGGAAAAATTAAAGAAACTGGGGATTTTAGACATTTTATAGCTATTTTGTATTTATATCAGTGTTTCTAATCTTGTTTTATTTTTTGCAGAGTTTCATGCATGTGCTGATGCATGCAAATGTGAATTTCTCAAGTATATTGATGAACAAGATAAAATTCAATTTCCTGTGTAAAACAATTGAAAGTGAAACGTGTGAAAGTTGAAATAAGTGAACTAAAACTTGATTAAAATGATGGATACAACAAGCAATAATGCTCTTAAGAGCAAGAGCTGTAGAGAAAGTCTTCAGGATATGATAAATAAAAATGGCTTATTTTAAACTGAGAACTTTCTGTTTCAATGAGGCAATGATACTTGAAAGTGTCTTGTAAAGACGAGTTTAAATTTAAACTGTTAAAAACCTCCTCAGAATTGCTGTATTTTAACTGGAAACATGTTACTTTGTGGCAGAAGTTACTGAAATCAGTTCATATCCTGAGTCTGTGCACAGTATTGGATCTTTGGTGTAAGGAAGTGACAATTGTCCTTGCTTTCCAAGAACAAATACTTTAATATCAGATATGTTACAACTTAAAAAGATTGCAGTTGTTTTGTGGCTTTTGATAAAACTTTATGCTAAAGCAGGCTTGTTGGTGTCTAATGGCTGAGGTAGTCCAATAAATAAACGGAGAAGCAATTGTGTGGATTTTGACTGTGGACCATAGTAGCTAATTAATAGCTAAGGAGTCACTGACCTCACATGCATTTATTTTAGCCTGCACAAAGCCTGTTTGAGGAAGAATTACTTCTACAAGCATCTGGAGTCCACATCTCCCTCTTCTTCCTACCCCCCCAAGAAAGGCTTTTGGCACCCTGTGACAGTTTGAAGTGCATCTGACTTTAGACGATCATAGTCTAAAGCTCTTTAGTTTTGTCACTTCCAGAAGACTCATGTCTGACAGCCTCAAAGAGAAAAAGCAGCATCCTAAACTCAGTGCATTGGCTATCCAGCCAGTACTTTGAGAAATAGCCTTAGCTGGTACTGCCTTGAGCCTGGCTAATTATGGGAGGATTGTGCAGGGAGGACTTTAGGAGATGGTTGCACCAAAGGACATCCATCAGTGGTGCAGAGAGGAACTTCTTGTATCATCTGAGGAAAAACAGTAGTTGGAATAGCACTACTAAATTAAGTCAAACAAAGTAAGTCTCCAAAATGACACAATTGCAAGCTGACGTATCATTCTGTGAAAATAGATATTCCAGAGTTCATTCAGTTGAAAATACTCACACTTAATATATTAAAGAAAATGAAAAGCATGATAGGCTTATTTGCATCTAATTTCTTACTAAAAGACAATTTGCGCATCCATCTTATCATATATCATATGTGAATGTAGAACATTTCAATTAATGTAGAAAATATTTCATGCTCTAATTTTCCTTTCAGCTTGGTATTTCTTGCTTGATATTACTTATGCTGAATTGCCAATGAGACACATGTTCCAGGGAAACTTTTAAAATTGGGTAATATTTATTGCAGTAATGTTATCTGTATATCAATTTCGGTGGAAGAATCCGGCTTCCTAATAGGCTTATAATCAAAAGGCTGTCTGGCCATCTGTTGTTCCAAGAATGAGTACTGTTCGATATATACAATTATATCAATAGGGATGTTGTGCTGGAATGTTGTGCTTAAAAAGTAACTGAATTATGCCAGCTGCTTTTGAAGCCCTGCATTAAAGTGTCTCCATTGGGGTGCTCAAATAGATTTGCTGACAGTAAGCTGCAGTTTAAGAGACTGATACTAAAAAATGACAGTATTTTGCTGCATTGGCAATATCAAATAAATGCTTTACTTTCAGAATTTTTTTACCTTGTTTTCTCTTAAATGCAGACAGTCAATTAAACAATGTCTTAAGTAGTTTGCTTGTACCTCCTGACTGCAGGAAGTACTGTTTTTTACATAGGTTATAGTTAAGGAGAACTGTGAGCCTTACAGCAAGGCGTAGCCTGTATGTGCATTCACTTCCAGTTTTGTAGGCAACTTGCTTTAGTGTGGAACCCAATCCAGGACATGACTTAAAGTACAATTATTTTTATTCGACTACTCTAGGCCTGACCGTTGCGGAATGTGACCAGACTTATGGAGGGTTCTTTGATATTCTGAGGGGTGGAACAGAGCGATTTTTCACTAATATTAAGGATACATCTTCTAAAGTTATCCAGTCTGTGGCCAAGTGAGTAAAAAAAAAAAAAATTGTGCTGGTGAGAGTTCTGAATAAAGGATCAGGAAATTATGAAATTATCAAATTCAGCATCCTTTTACAAGTATGAGCTCTAAAAGCTGGTAGCTAGCCCTGAGATTTTATGAATTATATTAATACAAAAGTTACTTTAGCAATTACATACTGGAAATAAGAATCTTGGAGCCAAAAGCCTGTCCATAAGTACTACTTTCCCTGCTGTGTCTTAGATACTGAAAGCTTGGGTGCGATGAGCAGGTGAGGGTGCTGCAGTAGAGCAGAGACTATCATGGATCAGAACAAATGAATTGAGTTATTAGATAGGGCCTCCATGTACAGGAGGCAAAAAAATGGAGTGGCAAAAGGAACAACTAAAGGTAATGGAGGTGAGAAGAAACACTGCAGGGAAACTCTGTGAGCTTTTATGTCCAGTTTAGTTACAGGTAGAATCCTGTTCCCTCAAGGCAAAGTGAGAGAATCTGCACTGTCTGTCTCCTTTGCCCTGCATTATGTGGAATAATACTCTCCTGTTTTGATGCATTTGTTCTCAGATACCTAGTATGTGATTATTTTTTAAATCAGATATTCAGTCCTATTCCAAAAGTTTCTAGTACCCTTGTGTGATCAGTATTAATCTGTATGAGTCATACGTTTTTAACTTGTACTGAAGTTTTATGCAGTGTAAAGGTTTTTCCTTTATTTAAGGAAGAGCAGGTAAGTCATTACTGAATACTATGACTGAACTAGGGCCTCCTAAGGTATACTGAATTTGTCCTTCACTCTAGGGTTTGTGGTCCTTTAATTGAGATACTGCATTATGACTTGTGAAGTCTATTGCTTGCACATGCTTTTCTGTCACTGAGTGTAATTTGTGTGTAGTGCTGCTCTAAAATGCTTCTAATGGTCAGATAAGTTAGATCTGTAGATCTTGCACCTCTGTAGGTGCTTCAAGTGCATTTTTAGCTGTTTGCTCTTAACATTTAATCTATCTAAACTTCTTATGCATGGTTTAGAAAGGCCAGGTCCTCTTTTTTTTTTTTTGAAAGGTTGCAAAAGCTGTGCAGCTTTGGTTTGTCCTTCAGCTTTCTACAGAAGCAATTGGCAAAGTTGCATCTGAGTTTTTAACCTGAGGAAACCACTCTGACTTGAAAACAGGGAGGTGTACAAGGGGAATGAAAATGCCTGATGAAAAGCAGTGACTTTAGCAGCTTATTAGAACTGTAGTATGTATGAAGAAACATGATGAACTACAACTTTTAATCAACTGCTCTCCATTTCATTATTTTGATGTATGCTGTCTTGTAGACCTCTATTCTTTATCTTCTTGTACCTGCAACCTTCTGTGGAACTCACCTTCCTCTTCCCTCCTCTTCTGTTCCTTTTGTGGTATCTTGTTAAACAAAATTTACTCTATGGTAAAACATGGAAATATTCTGTGTATTCCTTGCTTTTGGCTCTACTGTTTATAAACTCATATGTATTTAATTCCCTGTCTTGTATCTAGGCAAAACTGCCAGAATTTAAGTCTCACAGTGAGAAATTACTTTTCTTCCTTTGTGACAGATAACACTTAAATTCTTCTCTACTTTTGACAGAGTTACAATCCCTGCTTTCTCATGCCAGTGTTCCTGTGTTAGATCTTACACTGACACTATATTTTGATTGTAGACTACATGCTTCTGAAGTACTCCTGCACTTCACTTTCTTTTGCTCTTGTCTCCACATGACTTTCTGGATTCTTGTATCTCCAACAGTAACTGTACATCCAGCCACATCTGCAGAACTCATTTGCCAGTTTCTGAAGTATAGGTCAGTGAGTACTTGGTGTCTGAAAAATGCTCTTCTCTACAATTGTTTAGATTATGATGACTTTCCAAAGTAAGTCTTGCATCTGTCTTGCTCTTAGCGTTACTATGTCACTTCTGGATTGTTAGTGTTCTGTGACTGAAATATGCACTTGGCACTTTAGTTAGTCCTTTTTTTGACAAACTGGGAGACTGATTGAAATGGAACTTGTGGCTCTTGAATCTTGCACAGAGCCCCATAGCAGAATCATTTGTGCCTTAAATTTGTGTGGGACATAAGGAACTGTCATAATCCTCTAAACTGCTTCAAACCTCTTCTGGCATAGCTATTTACTTGCCTGTTCCTGTGACCTGCAGTAGGTGATCCTGCTCTAGCAAAGGGGTTGGGCTGGATGATCGTCAGAGGTCTCTTCCAGCCTCTACCGTTCTTTGATTCTGTGACAGAGGCTTGTCAAACAGTGTATGTTAAGTCCCAGGCTTCATCCTGAGTACATCAGTTCCTCACATATGTTTCAGACTAGGCTCATTGAATAAGGGTTTCTATTTAAGTGACTTGTGCACATCACCTCTGACAGAGCATCTGAGGCTGTAAGACTTTTGTTTTGTCTGCATTAACATAAGCAAATCTTGGTTTTGTGAAGGACCCTCTGTCATCACCCAACTGCCTTCTTATTTTCTTGTGTTATCCAAGTGAATTTGGTAGTTGGGTTGGGGAGTGAAAGAAAAGGAAAAGGAGGGAATGCAATTCAATATTGTTTAAATAATCAAATTGTAATTGTTAATTCTTTGCATTGACTATTGGACATACTTTTTTCTGTCATGGTCGTTCTCTGCCTTTACAAACTTGTGTATGGCTACAGATGATAGCATCAGGGATGTGAGCATCTCTCTGTACTGTTGCATCCTTGACTGTCTTTCCAAAACTCTTCAGCTAACGTGAGAAGCAGACATTCTGGACAAATGAAAATGGCTTTTCCTTGTCATGCATTTTCTTCAACACTCCAGCACTCCTTGTGTTGGAGTCTGTCATCTCATTAGGTAGGCTCTCTCTTTCCTGCTTATCATTGCTTTTCCGAATGGGGGAGTTAATTTGTTTATCTGCAGAAAGACTTCTTTCTCACTGAATCCAAACTGCAGTGGCAGAGTTAGTGTTCTGTAGTTGCTACAAAAGATTTTTTTTTCTTCTCGCATAGTTGCTTTTATCTTAATTCAAATTTTGTTCTCTTGTTTATCCTAATAAGTGATAATGTCTGAAAACTGAAACATGCCGCAGGCTACTAGGAACAGAAGAGTGAATGAGGGCTGTCTTGATTGTCCTCTAGGCCACCTCATTTGCAGGTGTGGCAATCTCCCTTGCAGATTCAGGTCAGGCAGAAGCAGTTTATAGCTAAATGAGGGAGAACACAGCAGCAGAGGTTCAGCCCTCTATTGATACAAACTGACCTAAAAAAGTACTAGGGTGTATACACACTTAAGGCAGATATGCACAGCCCTTGGAAGAGGCCTATGCAGCGTCTGCACAGAAGGGACCTTTGCTCTGGGAGATGTAACTGTGTGTGTCTGTTAACTCAGTCAGCGGCTGTGTGGCCTCAGCATACCTCTGTTCAGCTCATCTGTCTCTCACTTGTGATACTGCTGTGCCCTTGAACAGCTTTTGTGCTTATTGGGGTCTGCATCCACACAGGTTACAGATGCCCTGCCAAAAAACATATACAGATGTTTTAAGTATCCAGTCTTCACTGTTACTGAAAGCAGCCAGCAAAACTTTTATGATCAGTCTTGTTTTGCTTTCTCAGAACAGTTTATTTCACTGAAAAGTTCTAGTAATCTAGGGAGCAATTAGCTACCTTTTTATTGCTAGTTTTCTTCTAAGGTAATTTTGTTTCTGGTGTGGTACTGCATTAATATTTCATTTAATGGATCATTGTGTTGCACTAGGTAGTTGAATGATTAATTCAGTTTTATGAAGCAAAACCAAGTGGGAACCGATTTGATGTGAATTCCTGTGCTACATTTCTTCCTGGCTTTTACAAAATAAACGGTAAAAATGGTGGTGTTTAGCGAATGAATAGATGTGAGCTTTTTCATGCCTGTGAGTGCAGAGGTGTCTGGAGGAAGATTGTTTAGTGTTAGAGCATTATTTATCTGAAGGTAATAGTTTGTGTGCTGATATTGTGGCTGGGGTGGGTACTCTGTCCTTCAAATTCCCGCCTTCAAGTGTTAGTAACACAAGGTAACTGTGCACTATTGTAGCATTCTGTGCCCTATACTAACTGGCTTATTTTTTTGAATTAGTTACTTTCAGTGTAACTGTTTTTAACTTAATTTGCTGGAATCTCTTATTTAGTTTTAGTTAGGGTCTTTAAGTACAGCTGTTCTCTGGCAAGATTGATAATGCCAGCCATTTACAGAGTGGAAACACTTTCAGTATCTAATTAAAACTTCTAATTGTTTTTAGGTGTTTATTCTGGAAAATGAGAATTCATATCTTAGTTGATACATTTTCCACTAGGCTTCTCAATAGAAAGCTTCAAAGTAGCCTGGTATTATCAGAAGAGTGGTTAAATATTGGTGTTGTAACATACTCCGCTGTTTAGCTTAATTAGAGCCTTATTAAGCATGCTGAGTCTTCAGTGTCCTCCATGCAGTCTCTTGATTTATTTACATGTTCATCTACTCTTATCACCTGCCAGCAACTTCACTATATAAATGAAATATCTGCTGTTAACATGAAAGAAAAGACCTTATTCCTCATGCTTAGTTACAGAGTTGTATCTTGAAATGTGTAGGAATGCTTACCAGTGTGAATAATATGCATTCTTTCACCTTCCTGCCATTTAAAGCAGTCTCAGTTGCCAGTCTCATATGAGACACTACACTAAAAGCAGAGCGTCTTATGTTCAAGTCTTACTACTGAAATAGCTCTGAAATCTTCAGAGTGAAGTGCAAAGTACAGTAATTCAAGAATATGGTCACATGTTTTAGGAGTCTTGTGTTGGTTTTGCCATTTAGCAGCTACATTTTAATTAAGAGAGCACAAACATTCTGAAGCTTTTTCAGTTTCAGCAGGTGTATAGACTTTTTTCTTTTGAAATAGCAAGCTTGAGTTGGCTGTGTTCTGTTGTTGGCATACCAGGCTGCACTTCTTCAGCAATGTGTGTATGGTGAGATGGTGCTTCTAATAATGTTACATTTTAATTTAGACAAATGTAAAAAACAAAGCCGAATTGAGTGGTCTTTCTAGTAAGAAATCAGTATCTGAAAGTGTTCCCAAAGGAATGGGTGTGGACTGCCTTTTTTTTTCTGCTTTTAAAAGTTCTGTGCTTCTTTTTCAAGTTGCTGCTTAACCTCGATGTTACAGGATTGAAGAGAGAGTTCTTTGTTCTCAGGCTGTCGTATTGGGTGGTTCTTTATCTTGATATCAAAACCAGTAGATATCATTAGAATGATCTGTATGCCTTCTTGCTTGAAGCTCGTGGGTGTAAGCAACAAATAATGCTTGCTACTTTTCAATCATATAAAGGGCTATGCTCATTACTAATTTCAGTAAGAAATCATTATTAGCTCTGAATGTAAATCTTGCCATAATTTAGCTGCAACAGTGTTCCCATTTGAGCTGCATGATGAAGTTTTATGTCCTTCCAAAGTTGCAAAGAGTTTTGAAATAGTGTTTATTTGGTCATTTTGTCTACCTCCTTATGCAAGATTTTTAAAGGCTGAGGGGTTTTTTTGTGCTATGTCTAGTGAGACTCAAACTTTCTTGCATGGGTTTCAATTTTTCTTGAAACCTTGGGTTATTATCATTGTTAGGACACTGATTAAATGGTATTTATGTGGAATAGTATAATATTTTTTCTTTCAAAACAGTTATTCTTGTCTTATGTAAAATCTTCCTCCCGATCCTTGTAAATTCATTGATCTTTAAAAAAATCAGTCCCTCCAGCCTACTTCATGCTTACTAACAAACAGGAAGGAATTAAAGCATAATGTTCTCTCTTGATGTTTCAAAATTTGAGTGTAGTATCCTAGGTCTGCTCTTTCAAGCAGTGTCTTGAAACTTTGTAGTGATATAAAAGCATTGCTTTAATAGTGCCTCTGCATTCCTTAAACTTGCATTGTAGTGTTGTAATGACTTTTGATATTCTGGAGATAATAAGCTCCTGACTTATTTAAGCTAGGGATGTCTAAACTAAGGGGTGAGGTTTGTTCTTATTTTGCTGATCAGGAGTGTAGACACTACGTGATTATACTCAAGACTGTTGGCCTGCACTGGGGCTCTTCAGTCTCTTTTTCTTTTCAAGTTTTTTTGTCCTGCTATGTGGCAGATATCCTACAAACAAACAAAATGGTGGTCCTAAAATAGTATATTATTGGCATAATGTGGGTGATTAGATAGAGATTATGTGAATGGACCTAAAAAAAAGTCTCTGGGAGATAACTATTCAAAAAGGCTGCTCTTTAAAATTGTGCACAACTGTATGAGGAGATGAGTAATGGTTAATGCCTTGCTCAATGTGGGAGCTTTAAAAGTGAATTTCTGGAGGAATCATTTAAATGAGGAGAGAGATTCAGGTACCCTTTCTTTATTCATAAGGAATCCAGAATTTGGGCAGCATGGCCATCTGGTCTAGATAGTAACATGCAAGAGTTTAACATTTTAAATGTAATGTTTCTACAAATGGTCTTTGTTTCAAGTATTATGATGTTCTCCATTAAAGATATTAATGTATCCTCATTAGGCTTTCAAACGGTTACCTACAATGAACATTTATCAGTAAGAGCAGGGGCTAGAGGAGTGAGTTAAACATTGAAGGCATCTGTACAAAATACCTAGAGATGGCTTTGTTGCAACTGATATAAATGAGTAACGATTCAAACACAAAGTTTGTTCTGAAAACTGTATTCTGACAACCTTTGAAGTATGAGGCAACAAGCCTCAGATGGAAAAAACTAAATGTTATTCATGGTGGTGGATATACCCTGAGGGACCTGAGTTTTAGACTTATGGCTTGAATGGTTCTGTTTCCCAGTATTAACTCCGATGTGTTCTGTTTCAGTTATGCGAAAGGAGACTTGGATTTATCATACATAACATCCAGAATTGCTGGTATGATAACTATGTCTGTCTTAATAAATTCTGATTGTTCTTAATATATGGAAAAAAGCAAATGCTTCATCTGGTGTTTGTTGTTTTGTCTTCAGTGATGTCCTTTCCAGCAGAAGGTGTAGAATCTGCCATCAAAAATAACATAGAAGATGTGCGGTTATGTCTGGACTCTAAACATCCTGGCCACTATGCTGTGTACAATCTCTCTCCAAGAACGTACAGGCCTTCAAGATTTCATAACAGGGTGCGTATAGTTTTTGCATATTTCTGTTAAAGGTCTTTCACCATGTCTTGATTATACCTACAGCTTTTTATCATGAAATATGTTGAAGTAGGCTGCATAATCAAAAAGATCACAAAGGAGTAAGTATAAACATAAGGCCAAAGAGTAACCTATATTCTGCTTGTCTTTGCTTTCAGTCCAAACTTAACTGATTAAAGACTAATCTTTAATCTTGATGATTAAAGTCCGTTTTTCTAGACTAGTGATATCGTTGAAAACGTTTACAGGTACCTTACATGTTTCAGATTTGAATGGAGAATACATTATGTAATGAAAAATGTTACTGAAATTTCTATCTCTCCTACATTCAGAGGTTTTCCTTTAAAAAGGTAGCATTCCTCTGGCGACTGGTTTGCACAACCTGTTTACTGTACTTTTTTCCTTGTCCCATTACATACCATGACTCTCATATGGCTCAGCCCTAGCTGACTGCTTGTTGCTGCTGCCTGAAGTGCTGCTATCACTTAGCTGAGCCTCTGTTAGCCTTTCTGGCTGCTTCTCTGATACTAAAATGAAGACATTTGCCTAACTCAGTAATAAGGTAGTGAGGACAGCTTGTTAGGTGCTGAGATACTGGACTTCATTGTCTGCTCCTAAATATACCTCAGCTCTCCTGTGAGTAGCTCAACAGTGGAGACCATTACTGTGTTGAAGTTGTCTAGCAATGGCCGTGTTAGACTTCACCTAAGCAGTCTGTAGTGATCATGCCCCTACCTCACAATACTGACTGTCCAAAGTAGAGTCTAGAAGCATTATTTGTTACAGGAAACAGGCCCTTTTTTGGGCCTTATCCTGCAAAGCCATCCTTAGTATTATTTCAGTTATCCAAGTTCACCTAAACTGTCAGGCTGAGGTATGTTTAATGTATTCTCTCTTGTGCTTGTCTGTTCCTTTGTTTCTTTGTAAACTTGTAGACAAGATGAAGTATTGTCACACCTGAAAAAACAATTATTGCCTCTTTGGGTGGAGGGAGTCTTTATCTGTATCTGATTCAGCATAAAGTTGTGCCTGTTTTGGATGACAGAGTTAATTTTCTTCAGAGTAGCTAGCATGAGGCTATGTTCTGGATTTGTACTGAGAATAATATCAGTAACACATTCATGTTTGAGTTGTTGCCAAGCAGTGCTTACGTTAAGCCAAGGCCCTTTTCAGTTTCTTGTACTGCCCCGTCCTCTCAACTTCTCTATAAGAAGTTAGGAGGAGATACAATCAGGACAACTAACCCAAATTGACCAGAGATACTCCATGCCATAAGACATTGTGCTCAGTACATAAGCTGGGGGGAGTTGCTTGGGGGGTGGGATTGCTGTGTGGGGACTGACTGAGTGTCAGTCAGTAGGTGGTGAGTGGTTGTATCACTTGCTTTTCTTGGATTTTCTCTCTTCTGTTCTTCCCCTTTTCATTATATTTTTTAATTTTAGTCTCTACTCTGTCTCTACTCTCTCTACTCTCTCTACTCTGTCTCTACTCTGTCTCTACTCTGTCTCTACTCTGTCTCTACTCTGTCTCTACTCTGTCTCTACTCTCTCTCTACTCTCTCTCTACTGTCTCTACTCTGTCTCTACTCTGTCTCTCCTCTGTCTCTACTCTGTCTCTACTCTGTCTCTACTCTGTCTCTACTCTCTTCTTATTTCAACCCACTAGTTTTTTTACCTTTTTCCTTCAGTTCTTTCCCCCACGCCATTGAGGGGCAGGGAGGAGATAAGTAAGCAGCTGCATGGTGCTTAGTTGCTGGTTGGGGTTAAACCATGACACAGGTTCAGACAGAGGTGGTTCAACATGGAAGCCAAAGTTTAATCATGCAGGAGATGTCCTGCATGATTATTTGGAGCAGGTACTTCAAAGCAGAATCTTCAGCAATGCTTTTAATACAAGATTGCTGGAAAGTCTACTTGGTTGGCAGAGTGAACTGAACTGATTTATTCTTCATCCTACAAAGCTATCAATCTCTGTTTATGGAATGATAAATTATGTGACAGAGAAATTGTTTACCTTGAGGAAGGAGCAGGAAGGAAGACCTGGGGAACTACAGACCTGTCAGTCTGACCTCGGTGCCAGGGAAGGTGATGGAACAAATCATCCTGAGTGCCATCACACGTCACATGCAGGACAACCAAGCGATCAGGCCCAGTCAGCATGGGTTCAGGAAGGGCAGGTCCTGCTTGACTAATCTTATCTCCTTTTATGATGAGGTGACCTGCTTGGTAGATGAGGGGAAGGCTGTGGGCGTTGTCTACCTGGACTTTAGTAAGGCCTTTGGCACCGTCTCCCACAGCATCCTGCTGGAGAAGCTGGCTGGGCATGGCTTGGACGGACATATGCTTTGCTGGGTTCAAAACTGGCTGGATGGCTGAGCACAGAGAGTTGTGGTAAATGGAGCTAAATCCAGTTGGTGACCAGTCACAAGC